CCTTTGCACTGATAACAAGGAGAGTTTGTCAGATGGTCGGAATGAATGTTGGGTTTACTGATAGCTTTGGGCTATTGAAAATGATTTTTATAAAGATATAAAACTATTTGTTCATTTTCAAATAAATTGCAAACTTTAAGTCGTATTATTTATTATTATAATATATAATGTAAATTAATTTAATGATGATTTTATTAAAAATAAAGAATGGATTTTAAAAATTGAAATAAATAGAATAATTAGAGAAAATGAAATTTTCTACATCATTAAAATGAACAGATGGATCCTTTATGAATACAATGATAAATAGGGCTATTATTCATAATATAATCATTCATGCTTTTACTATAGGAATGCATTGAAAATCAGAAACCAAGCAATAATGTCGGCACCCAAATTGATGAAAGATTAATTGAATCTGAATTCTTTATCAAATCGTCTTTGAATGAGCCGCAAAGATTTAATGTTACAGCGAACGGAATTCTATCTATAACATTGAATAAATACGTCGTTTGTTTATTATAATCCTTTAATTTGAAAAAAAGATGATTCCGATTTTATTTCACATCAGTTTTGTCAGAATTGTCAAAGTCTGAGAGAAGAAAGAATTGTAATAGAACTTATACTTTCAGATGACCATTCTAGCAGAAGATTGAATGCTTTTTGAAACAATAATGCGGTTTAGTCCCGGATGAGGCAATAAAAATGTCAATTTAATTCTGTTGGAATAATAGGACTATAACAAAACGACACGGATGATGACGAATACTTTGATGCTTTCCATTGAAACCAATTATTAACGTAAGCGAATAGTTACCGAATAACAAACAAAAGAAAATGCATTAATCTCTTCATAATAATTACGAAGACAATGAAGGCTTCAAAGAACAATTGGTGCCATAAATTCCTGCCTTTTTATCTTAGAGTTATTTGGCATCGAGACATTGAGGACGATCAAGATATATTTTTCGTCTAAGATCTTTGTAGTGAAGGGAGGGAAAGTGTTTATTTTGCTTTGTTGTAGTTGTAATTTGCAATCTGAAGAAATTAAATATTAATCATATTCTATTTGCATTAATTTAATTAGACAATCCTTCCATGATTTCAATTAATTCCTATAGTAAAATTTGCTTTAGATTAAATCATATTTTTTTTCTATCAGTAATACAATTCCATTCCTGACCAGACAATCCATTTCTTCCTCATTTTCAATGTATTCCTATAGTAAAATCATTAGAAATATTTACATTATACATATAATAGCTTGCTATCACCTAATACTTGCCTTCATTTTTCTGACCACTGACAATCCGTTTCTTCCTGTTTTCAATGCATTCCTATATTTAAATCATTAACAATCCATTTCCTATTATACATATAATAGCCCTATTCTATCAGTAATGCTTGTATTCATTCCTGACCACTGACAATCCATTTCTTCCTCATTTTCAATCCATAGTAAAATCATTAGGAATTATTTATTATAATATAAAAGTATTCTATCATTTGCCTTCATTCCTGACCACTTGACAATCCATTTCTTCCTCATTTCCATGCATTCATAGTAAAAATCGTTAGCAATCCATTTCCATTATACATATAATAGCCCTATTCTATCAAATATTTTCTGACCACTTAATCCATTTCTTCCTCATTTCAATGTGTTCCTATAGTAAAATCATTAAAAATGCATTTACATTATACATATATTAAAATCATAAACAATCTGTTCATTCCAATTCCATTATAAAAATGCTTTTTATAGTAAAAATCATTAGCCCATTTTCCATATACAGTAATGATAATGCTTTTTTCTTTATTTTGACCATTCAATCCATTTTTTCCTTATTTCAATTTTCAATGTATTCCTATATAAATATTATCTGCATTTAATTAAACATATATATTTTTCTATCACTAATATTGCCTTCATTCCTTTTTGCTTTCCATGTAGTAAAAATTAGCAATGCATTTCCATTATATATATAATATATATTCCTGACCATCCATTATTCTATAGTAAACTATATGCATTTACATTATAATTCCCAGCCCTATTCTATCACTAATTGAATTCCACCACTGACAATTTTCTTGATAAAATCATTAGCAATCCATTTCCATTATACATATAATAGCCCTATTCTATCAGTAATGCTTGTCTTCATTCCTGACCACTGATCCCTTTCTTCCTCATTTTCAATGCTTTCCTATAGTAAAATTCATTAACAATCCATTTTCATTATACATATAATAGCCCTATTCTATCAGTAATGCTTGCCTTTTATTCCTGGCCACTGACAATCCTTTTTCTTCATTTTCAATGCATTCATATAGTAAAATCAGTAATATATATATATATATATATATATATATATATATAAATATATATTGAATTTGTAGGTCTGATGAATTGAATCAATTACGAATCAAGTGTAATAAATTATAACTATGGAATATTAGTGTTTGAGCCTTTATAATATATTCTTACTCTGTCTTTGACATAGAGCTCCACTGGGATTTTGTCCTCTTGGATATATATATATATATATATATATATATATATATTAATCACTAATATTATCAAATATGCATTCATATACACACACACATAGACAAACGGACACACACACACACACACGCACGCACACACACAGACACACACACACACACACACACACACATATATATATATATATATATATTATTTCGTGAATATCTGTATATTCAACTCTTCAGAGCAAAATCTTCGGTCTGGAGAGATGAATATATAGATCCTCACGAAATAAATTATAACCGAAAATGAATCTTTATGGTTTTCTTCTTAATTATTATTGTTATTATAATGCTTTGTAGTCTACATTGTGCTCTCCGTGGATTGGTAATATATATATATATATATATATATATATATATATATATAAAAAAAGTGAACATTGAAGTCAAAACTCAGAGGCGACAGGCTGTTTCATGCTGGACGCATTATATTTATATACGCTCTATCTCTGATATTGAACACTTTATCCCATAAATATAGCACACCTTAAGACTATATTTAATTTACACACACACACACACACACACACACACACACACACACACACACACACACACATATATATTGAACAATAAAAAACAATATAAAAAAATTAAAATCTTTAGACACACTGGGTTGTAGATTAATATTCTTTCTTTTTTTTTTATTATTATTTCATTTAGATTCCTCGACTAGTTTCGACCATTTTAGTCGAAACTAGTCGAAAACTGGTCGAAACTAGGCCATCATGGGGAGCAGAAATATTTCTGCTTGCTGGTAGCAGTAAACTACAGATAATTTGACGCAAAGTATATATATATATATATATATATATATATATATATATAAATTTACGGTACTTGGCGTCAAATAATGAAATAATATTGTTCTGTTCGGGTGTAGTTTTGATTTTGCCGGTGAGTTGTTATTTCTGATAAGAAACTCAGCTACGCACCCTAAACGATTATTCAAGATATGAACTTGGCTTTTTACTATCCTTACGTTATAAAATACTCATAAAATAGAAGCATTAAATCTGTTTATTTTTTTGTTTTTTTAAATAATGACAAAGACGCACATCGTTGACCATTTTAAAATGATTTAAAACCTTTAATTCGGTTGTTGGTAAATTGCGGATTTGTGTCGGTTTTGCCGAAAAGAAAAAAAAAAAAGAAAAAAAGAGAAAGGAAGTAATTTGTATAATATCCGGCAGAAATATTAACCCGATTTAAAAAAGAAAATGGGATAATTGGATAAAATCAAATAAAAGAAAAATTAATTTTAGTGAATACATTGTTTAATTACTTTGTTATTTGTTTTTTTAATTAAATATAATTTTCTACCCTTTTCTTTGTATTTATTTGGTTGGTTGGCTGTTTATAGCAAATTAAAAAAAATGTCCTTTTTCGTCCTCTGCGGCGAAAGAGAATTTTTAAATCAATTTAAGAGATTTAAGCTTAAATTACATACATACATACATATATACAGATAGGTAGATGTATTAATGCTGAGATAGATAGATAGATAGATAGATAGATAGATAGATAGATAGATAGATAGATAGATAGATAGATAAACTGTGAGAGATAGATATATAGAAACTGAGACAGGGATAGATAGATAGATAGATAGATAATAAAGAAACTGTGAGAGATAGATATATAGAAACTGAGACTGAGATAGATAGATAGATAGATAGATAGATAGATAGATAGATAGATAGATAGATAGATAGATAGATAATGAAGAGATTGGGGCAGATAGATATATAGATAATGAAGAGACTAGGATAGATAGATAATTAACTGGTTGAAATAGATAGATAGATAGATAGATAGATAGATAGATAGATAGATAGATAGATAGATAGATAATGAAGAGACTGGGATAGATAGATAGATAGATAGATAGATAGATAGATAGATAGATATACTTGTTAATAAGAGAAAAAGCAATAATCCTTGATTCCGCCATGTACAGACCCAGTGTATGCAGTCTAACACTGACTCCATATAGACTTCCTTAAATACATTCCCAATGATTATTATAATTTTAAATAATATAATCTGTTGAAGCTTTTAGTGCAATAACCAAGGATTTTCAAACAATATGTCGTATGTGCAGAGTAAAATTAACGATTGAGAAACACAGGTCCTGTTCATTAGCCAGTGAAGGAAATTTCATTCTGACGCCATATAAACAATGATAAGCGAATCATATTATGTATGGCATCATATTGTATATTATGTACATATCAGTACAATTACCAAGGATTTTCAAACAATATGCCGTGTGTGTGTAGTAAAATCCCGAATATAAAATTAAACGAATATATAAAACCTATTTATTTAAAACGCAGTAAAGCGAGTCATTTCACTGTTTATCGCGGACATCACAAATAAACGTCGAGCCTGGTTTAATGGGATTTATTCTTGAAATCTTGGATATGCGGATGGGGTAATTCCTAGATCACCGAAGTTAAGCAACGTCGAGCCTGGTCAGTACCTTGATGGGTGACCGCCTGGGCATACCATGTGCTGTAAGCTTGGAAGTGCGGATGGTGTAATGGATAATGATTCGGAATTTTTAATCAGAGAAGTGAGTTTCAATTCCAGTTGGGTTCGTTATATTCACTTACGCGCAAATACCATTGGGAGACTTATGAATCCGCCTCTCCCCCAGATATGGGTTAATTAGTTGGACTTGTATCGTTAAATCTTTATTATCTCTAAACAAAAGAAAATCTTACAATCTAAAAATGTTTTTTTTTTTTACTTTAAATAACCTGCAAAGGGTCGATAAGCCATAAAAAACGAAGCAATCCATGAAATAATAAACTTAGTTATCTTTTGCGTGATTCGAGGATTCCGGGGAAGATCAGTTGAGAAACTGTATTCAACTGTTTTCTAAGATCAATGATTGAACACTTCCAGCCTCAATAAAGATAAAAATGGTTACGACATGTAATTAGAAGAATAAGATTATGATATATTCAAGGTTTTAACTTCCCACACTACCCTAAAGAAACGGTTTGCAAGGAAACTCTCATCAATATTACAACAGTGAACTTGAGTAGTCTGACTTCCTGAAAAAAAAACTGTCTTAAGAGAATGATTTTATGAATTTCAACCTAACGTAAAGCAAATTTTTCGAGCAATGAGTAACGAATTCTCCCTATATGGAAATTGTTTACATCACCTTTACCAATACCATATTAACTTTACCAATGACATATTACATTTACCAGTACCATATTACCTTTAACAATACCGTATTACCTTTACCAATACCATATTACCTTTATCAATATCATATTACTTTTACCAGTACCATATTACCTCTACCAATACAATATTACCTTTACCAGTACCATATTACATTTACCGATACCATATTACATTTACCAGTACCATATTACCTTTAAGAATACCATATTACCTTTACCAGTACCATATTGCATTTACTGATACCATATTACCTTTACTAGTACCATGTTACCTTTACCAATACCATATTATCTTTACCAATATCATATTACTTTTACCAGTACCATATTATCTTTTAACAAATACCATATTACCATTACCAGTAATTGATTAATACCTTGAACCATATTACCTTTACCAATACAACATTACCTTTACCAGGATATATTACCTTTAAAAAGATATTATTATTACCAGTACCAGATTATCTTTAACAATACCATATTACCATTACCAGTACCATATTACTTTTACCAGTACCATATTATCTTTACCAATACAATATTATCTTTACCAGTACCATATTACCTTTACCAATACAATATTACCTTTACCAGTACCATATTACCTTTACTGATACCATATTACCACTGGCAATATCATTACCAATATACCCATATTGAAGTTTACAGTACCAGGAAATCGTTGTCGGCCAATTCATAATATATTTCTTTAAAATTCCCGTCATTTGAGAAATATGTGATATTATTATTATTATTATTATTGAGCGAGAGGGCACTGCGTCAAAAAGTGACGCTACTGGGTACATATATACGAATCCCAATTCTCTTATCGTCCGGTTCATACTCCTCCCTGGTCTTTTGAACAGAAGTAGCGGTTTATCCTTCCTTTCTTGCTTAGGGTTTTGTTTCCGGTTCCTTCTAAAGTCCACTTCAACTCTATACTTTTAAAGTCTTTCCCTAAACTCTGAAATTTTATTTACTATTTATTTTTCCTCAATAATAGTAGATAGGATTCACTATCGTCCTGTTCACACTCCTCCCTGGTCTTTTTAACAGGGTTATAGGTTCATCCCTTGTTTCCTTGTTTTAGGATTGGATTTCGGGTTCCTTCTAAAGTCTTTTCGTTGTCTCTCACTCCCGGTAGCCCATTACGCCTTAGTGGCATCATTGAATTGATTAAAGAAAAATATCAATCGTGTAAAAGGTATACGAAGCACATGCAGCACAGCCAAATGTACGCGATACGGTGGGAGGGCTTCATAAAAGCAGCGTATAACATTTTGCAGTTAACAATATTTTCAGATCGGGTAACTCATTCAAATTTTTTTAAGAGAAAGTTTTTATAAATTTCAACCAACAATGGCACTGGCTGCTCAGTTAGTGAATGCTGAATGTTTCCTTATAAGGAAACGGCTAATATTACCATTACTATTCCACTTAGAGTTTCCGATTGTGAATGTTCCCAAATATCTAGATATGACCCCCTTGGTTACCTGGAGATGATGCTCTATCACCACTCCCAAAGTGTGTTAGCCTTTATCAGGTGGGAAACATGTCCAACTGGTTAGTGTCAAACAACTGAAAGGAATATTGTTATATACCGTACCTATGAACACTAATGGGTATATTCCAATCCTCATAAATACGGTGAACACTATTGTAAGTGGGGGTAATATATTGTCTAAGTAGTCCACTACTAACAGTAGTTTACCTACTTCACGCCGCTGGCGAGTATTGTATTTTGTTGATATTATAAAGATTACCATTTCATTTTCAACACTATCTATCTGTCTCTTCGTATGTATCTATCTGTTATATATCGTACCTATGAACATTAATGTGTACGTCCCAATGCTTATAAATACATTGGACACTATTGTTAGTGGGGGTAATATGGTGTCTATATAGTCCACCACTAGCAGTATTGTATTTTGTTGATGTTATAAAGAATATCATTTCATTTCCAGCATTTCCACTGTCTTGGTTATTCCTCATTCAATAACCCTTTCTAGGTTACAACACTATCTATCTATCTATCTATCTATCTATCTGTTATATATCGTACCTATGAACATTAATGTGTACGTCCCAATTCTCATAAATACATTGGACACTATTGTGTGTGTGTGTGTGGGGGGTAATATGGTGTCTATGTAGTCCACCACTAGCAGTGGTTTAACTACTTCACACCGCTGGCGAGTATTGTATTTTGTTGATGTCATAAAGATTATCATTTCATTTCCAACCTCTGTCTTGATTATTCCTCATTCAATAACCCTTTCTAGGTTACAATACTATCTATCTATCTATCTATCTATCTATCTATCTATCTATCTATCTATCTATCTATCTATCTATCACAGTGTCTATATATCTATCTATCTGTCTGTTATATATCGTACCTATGAACACTAATGGGTATGGCCCAATCCTTATAAATACGTTTGACATTATTGTAAGTGGGGGTAATATGCTGTCTATATAATCCAGCATTAGCAGTGGTTTACCTATTTCACGCCGCTGGAGAGTATTGTATTTTGTTGATGTTATAAAGATTACCATTTCATTTCAAACCTCTGCTTTGGTTATGCCTCATTCAGTAACCTTTTTTTAGGTTACAACACATATTTACCTTAATTATATATCTTAATTCACTAAGACAAACATATACATGTTAACAATTCCAATTACTTAAGACCAGAAGCCACGAGAGCCATACTTAGTGTAGCATCAGAGCATTTATTATTATTACTATTATTATTGTTGTTGTTGTGATTGTCACTCCTTTCGTTAGCACGACCGCTATGTCCTGTCAACGCCTCATAAATAATGAACTATTCAGAGTTTTGATAGCGTGGAAAGAGAGGAAAAGATATTATTTTGTTTGAGTTTTTTTCTTCTATTTAAAAAAAATCAAGTAACAAGGAAGGTAAAAAAATGGAGAGAGGAGGATTTAATATTCTAGAAAGATAAGGGTCTTCTGAATTGTTGTTTTTTTTGGGTGGGGAGAGAGGGGAGAAAAATGGGGAGGAGAGGGAGAGAGAGAGAGGGGAGAGAGGGGAAAAATTTGAGAGAGAGAGAGAGAGAGAGAGAGAGAGAGAATCGGATAAAGCTGTTAAGAACAAAAACTACATTTTGATAGCAGCCAAAAGGCCGAGAAGGAAAAACGCTATCACGTCCCTAACTTTTTCAAATACACAAAAAAGTTTAAAGTGGGTTTAACGGCAATACCGTGGAAAAAAAATTTGTATTTCCACCTCGGCACTTAATCAAAAATTTCTAAGCGATAGGCAATTTGAAACCCCCCCACAAACATACACACACGGAGGAGAGGTAATTCTTTCTGGGACGAAGGTCTCCTTTTTCTTAGCTTAAAATTTTTTGAACTTCCCCGAGCTTCTTTTTTAGAAACTATTTATTACTGAGAGATAAAAATATATTTTTCAGACGCACATTATTAAACGATGGACACAGAAAAATTAAACCAGTTACATTTTAATAACATCGTCTACTGAATTATTTCATCAATCAAAAAAAGAAGTAAAAAGTTTTCAAGGAAGGAAGGAAGGAAGGAAGGAAGCTTCACCCTTAATTTCTGTCTTCATGCAGATTGATGTTTAAAAGTCCTTTTTTTCTCAATTTTCCTTCACTATTTCTGTAGGAAATTTTTAGCTTTCTATAAAAAAAAATTCATTTGTTTATGCTACTTCGTTTCAGTGTGAAAAGAAAAGAAAGATAGATGAAACAATAAATTCTTGTTTAACCCTCTTTCAATTTTAAAACTTTTCATTTGTAAAAAAAAAAAAATAACAATCATTCTTCATTTTTATGATTTATTATTGCAATATTTTGTTAAAGTTGTTAAGCTCAAATATTTAACAATGCTATAGATGAATTTTTACGGATATTTTATTGTCGTAGAACTCGCCATGAGTTTATTTAATCTTAAACTTCTTATCAGAAAATTCAAATAGGAAAATTTTCTATTTTTCAAAAATTTAGAATTTTCTTCTTCTTCTTCTTCTTCTTCCATGCAAATTTTTCTTCTTCTTCTTATTATTATTATTATTATTATTATTATTATTATTATTGTGTGTGTGTGCTATAATCCTGGCAAAGAGTAATTTTAAGTGAATAATTAAAAGTCCTTCTTATTATTATTTAACATTTTTTATTATAATTATTTATGGACATTTGGGACGTTTCCTTTAAATGGAGAAAAATTTCAACCAAATAACTTTGCAGGTCCGCACAAAATAATCTTTTCTAAATCTGAGGTGCTGATGTTGTCCAGGAATTAAACTCACATGATTTTCGGTAATTCCTTTTTTATACCCATTATTTTATCACAACATACGGATAAACGTAGTTTTTAAGATTCTATATTTTTTGTAATTCAATTCTCTGGTCCTTATAATTTGACAGGTTTTAAATTCTTTTTTTTTTTTTTGAAATTCATGGAATTTTTTTTTCAAGTCATATCAATTAGTTAACAAGTTTTTTTTTTTAAATTTTTGATTATTATGCTGATCTATTTCACCAATTTTATTCTATCTGTCTTTATTGGGAAATTCCTAAGTATAGTCAAAATTTTCACCATTTTTGACGTTCATTTAGTGGTGTCTGTTCCATATATCCGGGAACAGACATATTAATGAATATATTAATGTTATAATCAACATTATTATTATTATTCAGTTGTTGTTTTTTTGATTTCTGTTATTATTTTGAATTTTTTTGGGTTCCAATGAGAGACCCAAGGTCAGAAATGGCTTCATTCAAAATTTTTCCACTGATCTTTAAGAAAATAATATCTTATAGATAAAAATTTTCGAAAATTATTTTGTCTGTTCAATTTTTGTATTTAATTAAGGTTATTTTTACTAGGAATCCCTTCTTTTCTGTTGGAATTTTTTCACTTCAAAAATTATCTTATTATTATTATTATTATTATTGTTGTTGTTATTTTTATTTCCTTTGATTTTCAAATTGGTTTACTATTTCTTTTCGGGTCCTGCCCAGGGACCTAAGGTTAGAAATGGCATCATGACATTTTCCACTGACAAAAAAAAAAAAAAAAAAAAATAAATTATATATTACATAAATAAAGGCCTTCGTAAAGGTGTGGGCTGTACTTGTCAGAACAATTTTTTTTGTATCTCCTTGAGGCATGGACTTCCAGGAATCCCTTCAATTAGTTTACTGGAATCTTTTCCAACCAGTCCTAGGGCTCCAACTACAACAGGGATTGTTGATGTTCCCATATGCCACATTTTCGAGATTTCTATTTCAAGGTCCTTGTATTTTTGACAACTTTTTTGAATATCTTCAAAGATACATTGCAGTCAGCAGGGACTGCCATATCAATAAGGAGGCAAAAATTTTTTTTGTGGTCTTTAATATTATTGGGGGTTGGCCTTGATTATTCTGTCAGTGTTTTTTGTGTAGTCCCATAGAATTGTTTTCAACTATCTCCGTAACCGGGTCTGGGTGGTGTTCTAACAAAAGTCATTTTATTATTATTTCCTTGATTTTTTATATATACAGATTTTTTTCCGGTTTTTTTAAAATTTTATTTAACAAAAGATATTAAATTATAGTTAATTTACTATTAATATTAAATTCAAGTTCACAATAAAATTATTTTTTATTTCTTTTTTTTTTTTTCATTATTTTTTCTCTTTTGAGTCCATTTATTAAAAATAAAACAATCTATTGAATCCAATAATTTTTTTTTGATGTTTTTATGATTATTTTTATATTTAATTATTAAAGATCCATATTTTATTATTTTTTTTTAATAGTAATTCGAGTAGTAGTAAATTTTTACATAAAGAAGTGTCCATTTTTTTTTTATTTTTAAAATTTTAGATTTTTTTATTATAATTTATTTTATTATATATTTATTTCTAGATATTCAACTCTATATTTGCTAAATATTACCGTTACATTTTCTTTTAAAATTTATATATTTATTTATTTGATTTTATTTTATTTAGTTAAAATATTTTGACGTCATTAAGATGAAATTTTTAGATTAAAAATTTTATATGGGTAAATTTTTAAAAAGGGATCAAATAAATTTAAAAATAAATTTGCTAAATTATATATATGTTTAGGGTTCATGACGATTTATAAACCCTTTTGTTGTTTTTATATGATTTTTCAAATTCTTTTCTTAAAAAACATTATTTAATATATCCTTATTTTGTTACCATTGAATATGAATTTTATTAGATTCAATTTCCTTTTGATATGGAATATCAAAAAGGATAAATATGAATTTAAAAAAAAAAAAAAGATTCATCCTAGAAATTTGATTTTACCAACAACCTCAAATTTTTAAAAGATATTGAAAATTTTTTTTAATCTCGATCTCATGTAAATTTTACTTTAACCCTAGAGTTTTAACCTGGTTTTATGGAATCATTATAACTAAGATAATGAGATTTATATTAACATTCTTTTTGATTTGTATCCAAATTTTTAAATTACAGTTCTATGGATCCATCAATTGATATTTTACAATCTTACATTTACAACGTTTTGTATGAAAAAGGTTTGGAAATTTAGAAAAAACAGATCCAAGAATAAATATTTAGACTTAGGATTACAAAACAAAAAATTCTTTTCGGTTTTTATTTTTTTTTATATAAGAAATAATTATTTTTTTTACAAAATTTTAATAAAAAACATTGCTAAATTCATGGTTTCATTTGAAAAAGCAAAAAGAAAATGATTATCAAATATTTTAGCGAAATATACCTATTTTTGAAAATTAATTAACAAAGGCGCATTCTTTTTATAAAGGAAGAAAGAGTGTTTCTCTTTCTTTTTCATCCTTTCCTTCTTTCTTTCTTTCTTTTGTTTGTTTGTTTCTTTCATTCTTTCGTTAAATATTCTTTCTTTCTATATATATATTCTTTCTTTCTTTCTTTCTTTCTCACTTTTCCACTTTCCTTTTTTCTCATCATTTCACTGTTCTGTTCCTCTTTCTTTCTTTCTTTCTTTCCCAATTTTCTACCTTCCTTTTTTCTTATAATTTCTCTGTTCTGTCCCTCTTTCTTTCTTTAGATATTCTTTTAATCTTTTTTTTCTTTTCATTTTTAAATATTCTTCCTGATATTGAATATTTTTTTTTTTGGTTTCTTCTCTCTCTCTCTCTCTCAAATCATTCATATATATATATATATATATATTTATATTATATATATTTTTTGCTGCTCCATTTTTCAGACTTCTTTTTACTGTATTTTCCTGAATAAGTTAAATTGGAGAGACGTCCTTGGAATAAAATCGAAAACTGGGAACTGGTTTGACATCAGTTTATGTTTCAATTTAGATCATCTTCGCGCTGCAGAAAAAACCTGGGGTTTAAAATAAAATAGTTTGATCAGGGTAATTCTGGACAGTATATTTCCCCAAAGAATATACATGATAGATTTCAATATCAAAAGATTTTAAAATACAAATAATTAAATTTTAATTGAAATTCAAATGTAATCCTTTTAACGTTTGAAATGTAGAAATATTTTATTTAAATAATTGGTTTTAAAATTTTAAAAGAAAAATTCAGAGTAAATACAAAATGATGTATATTATATACATGTGTTTTAATTATTTGAAAATTTTATCCACACAAGCATCCCATTTTCACTTTTTAGATAACGTAGAGTTAATGATACCTAGATTTTTAGATAGATGATTTGAACAGACTGAGCTAGCTAGACAGATAATGAACCTGATATAAGATAAAGATATTTTTAGATAGATAGATAGATTGATAGATATTGAACCACTGAGCTAAATAGATAAGCTAGACAGATAATTAACATGATTAAAATAGATTTTAGAGTATCAACAGATAGGTTAATGTATTAAATGCTTAGATGAGATAGATTTTTTTGTAGATAGAAAGATTTAAGAGATTTATAGATTTTTTGACTTGAAATGAGACAGATAAGAATTGGTATGATAGATAGATAGATAGATAGATAGATCCAAGATATGAACATACTAAATTTTGAGCTAGACAGATAATGAACGTAGATAGATAGATTTGACCACTACACTGCATAGATAGATAGATAGATAGATAAACTTTAGATAGATAGATAAATAGATAGATAGATAGATTCGATTAATGAAATTACACTTTATAGATAGATAGATAGATAGATAGATATTAACGGACTGAGCTAGCTTCCAAAAGCTATCAGATAATGGACGTAGATAGATAGAAACAGTGTGTCTATAGGAACCAGCATAACGTATAAATTGGACAAATTCCGCCTTCTATATCATCAAATCTGCCAGTCAAATATACCCAAATAAGTTTTATTGAATAACACCGACAATGTCTGACGATTTAACATTTTATTTAGTTTTTTCACCATCCGATTTCAGTCTGACCGTCGCAGATGGTGTCGCTTTTCACTGATT